GTGTGTGTGTGTGTGTGTGTGTGTGTGTGTGTGTGTGTGTTTAATGGGCGCAAAGGAGGGATTTCCTTGCAGATCAGAGCCCACTGTTACACAGCAGGATGAGCTAAGAAAGAAAGGGGTGTTAGAGGAAAGATGAAAGAATAGGGTCGGAGAGAAAATTTCTATGTTGGGTATAGTATGAGGAGATCATATACTGAGGTTGCTGAGAGGCAGAACAGTGGGTTCAGTGCATTGCTTCAAAGATCAAGGAGGGGAAAAGTAAACCATGTTGGAGATAAGAAGGTAAGACTGAGCAGTTGGAGGGATAGAGGGGAGAATTGGTGCAGGGAGGGGAAATGGCCTTCAGGCATACAATGTATTGCACCAGAAATGAAGAGACCGAGTGAAGATGTGTGTTTTTGGAGGTGGAGGAAAGTGAGGAGCAGGTGAAAGCGAGGAGGACAGAAGCGAGACGGGGGGAGGGGGTGTCGGAGGGAAGTATTAGGATGGTGGAAATGGTTGGATATGGACTGGAGATGGAGAGAAGTTACGAAGGGACGGGAGAGGGAGACCACCTAAGGAGCGGGATTTGGGTTGAGCTGATTGAATTTCTAGGACAGAGCGAGTCGAGGGAAGGAGAGGAGATGGAGGAGGAGGAGGAGGAGGAGGATGGATGAGAGGAAAGAGGGGCCTAGCATGACTGATAAATTAGAAAGAGTAGTCAGACATTGTGGAGTGTAGGTGGAGCATCTGCACTGTGAAATAGCAGAAGCTCATTAGCTGCAAGGCGGTTGTTCGTGCATTCTTAATGTTGCGATATGGACTCGTTCGATGCATGTAGCAAAAAAAAAAAGTTCTAACAAATGTCTTGTTGATCTGTCTGTGATGTGTTTGTGCAGATAAGTAAGGTGTGTGTGTGTGTGTGTGTGTGTGTGTGTGTGTGTGTGTGTGTGTGTGTGTGTGTGTTTTAAGGAGGATCAGAAAGTGACTCATCTACTTCTTCTTCTTCCTCCCCGTGTCGGTCTCCCCTCTTATTTCCCGCTGGTTTGATCTCTCTCAGGAGTGTGACGTGGGATCGCAACAACACCACGGCGACAGGCTTCCAAGATGTGGCGAGAGCGCTGGAGCAGTAAGATGAACACAACACGCGGCAAGAAGGGAAAAAAGGGTGGGGGGGGTACACACATAAAACGGATCACTCACACACCCACATGAAAAGCAGACAACCATCTCTGTACAATGTTTACTATTACACAGTGTTTCATCACTTCTTTGACGTGCATGCCAGTCAAACTGTCATGTTTTTTTTAGAGTGTGTGTGTGTGTGTGTGTGTTTGTGTGTGCGCTGTACACGGGTGTGTGGGTGTATTTGCGTATTAGGTAATTGGAGACAACTGTTATAAGTGCCCTGGGTGTTTCCTGTTTGTTCTCGTTAAAATCACAGTTCTTGCTGTTTGTTATTGCAAGGGTAACTTAATCTTTTCTTCCCTCTTCCTCTCCGCCTAATAGCAACTTCACCCTTCAGTACATGCCCCTCCCCCTCGGTGATGTCACTCAGGCGCACCGCAGCGCCCCGGAGAGGACGGACCAAGCCCTGACCAAGGTGAGAGGAGCTTTTGTTCCTTCACTTTGTGATGTCTGAATTTGCACCGTCATGTTCTCAAAATCCTGATGACCACTGGGACGATGATTCATGGCGTTGATGAATGACTGTAATTTGCCTGTTCATTAGAAGTGATGATTTCATGCGGACGTTTTGATAGATTATTAAATTGCTGCATGGGATGTGTGCCATAAATACGTTTGCATGAAAAGACAATTACTTTTTGGGTATTTTGAGTATTTGGGTTGCAACATCTAACCAGTGCGATGCAGAAGAGATTGTGAATGCTTCTGTATCCAGTGATCCACTGACGACTAAAGTTACAGTGGCTCAGTTTATGCTGTATTCAGAGAGCAGGCACGCTTTTCAGTGTTTCTCCATTTTCAATAATGTGAAAGAGATGCTCTAGGTTAAGAGTGATTGATAAATGTAATATATTCCCATGGGGAACAATATTATGAATAGCACAAATGTCATGATCTATTAGTGTAGATATACCTTTAACACCACCAATCAATGTGATGCACAAATTGACAAAAAATTAATTGGCAACCAACTTGCTAATAAATCAATCATTTATGTTATTTTTCAAGCAAATATGCCAAACATTACATAGATCAATCTTTTCAAATGTGAGTATTTGCTGCTTTTATTTGCCTAATGTCATAATACATTGGATGTCTTTGGGTTGTTGACTGTTGGTCAGACACAAAAAAAGAAGTAAGAAGATGGAAGCTTGAGGGTATTGTTCTGGGCATTTCTCACAATGTTCCAGAATTCTATAGACCAAACGATTAATCAAGAAAATAATCTGAAAATGAATCTATAATTAAAATAACTGTGTTGCACTGCAGGGCCCGTGTTCACTACCTGTTTGTGTGAAAGGCTTAATGTGGTAAACTTGGGTTAATCATAGGTCCTTAGTAAAACAAGGGTGTTAAGGCTTTTTTTTTTTTTTTTTTCATAGTGTTGATTCGGTCCCAGGTTAATCTGTGCTGATTCTGTGATGGCAGCTGCATGTTAGACGACAGGCAACAAGCAGGCCCTCTTTGTTCATTCCTCTTGATCATGTGACCTGGAGAACATCTGCGATTCAACCTTTGTGCATTCTCACCTGAAAATGTCACACTGGGAAGTGATGGATTTCTTTCACAGCTAACATGCCGCTACTTCCTGCTGCACCGCACACGTGCTCCGAATATCGAACATGTCCTCCCCGTGTCGAAGTGCACGTTCACATTTCTTTGTTTTTTTCGATCACATTGGGGCTGCCGTCTGTTCATGTGTCCATGTGCCGTTATCTGGCTGTGTACATCAGAGGTGCGCTTTTCATACAGCCAATCAAAACGCTTCATTTCAAGCAACATTTGCATAAAGCGTTGACCTCCTGTCATTTGCATGACAGTGACATTTACTGACAGCCAGACCGCCGCCTACGACAAAGACACACAAGAGAAAAAAGAGCGTGTGCAAACATTCGACTGGATACGTGTCTTATCTTGCACCATGACGTGTTCAGATCCATAAATAAGTCTCCATTAGTGTGCTTGCTATCACTCTAGATACTGGATGGTGTGGTCCTTTCTGTCAGTACCACTGCTAACTAAATGCCGTTTGTCACCTGGCTCGTAAGCTGCAGTTAACAGAGCAAGTCTGTTGACATCGCACGTCAAACTCCCGTTTCTCTGAAGGCTCAGCTGTCAGTCACTCTCACACAACATCTCGCCTCCCCACAAGCTAGGCTAAAGGAGCATTTGAGATAGATCTCCAGAAACAAAACAAAAATAAAAAATCAGTATATTTTTACTTCAGTTGAACATATTTTGGCTTTAAGTTATTTCTAGCATTATAAATAGATCTGCTGTGGAAGTAACCTAATGTACCATTTTCTGGTTCTTATCTTAAGTGTGTGTGTATGAATATGTATGTGTGTATAAAGCTTACACTTGGGTTGAGGTTCTTGTTTGTCTGCACATTGTTTTGCAAAGCTCTTGAGTCCACCTTTCCTTGCATAAGATGATGAAGCAGGGAACACCTCCTCCTGCTGAGTCAGGAAAATAAATCAAAGGCATCCCTTTTATTTCTGGGGATCAGAACTCTCCTCAGTCTCCTTATTACCATGCAAATAGCCCTTCCTCCCGTTTCCTGCGCACTGTGCTTGGTAAACACCTGTCATCACCAGCACTCCTCTCTGTTTTTCGTGTGTGTGTGTGTGTGTGTGTGTGTGTGTGTGTGTGTGTGTGTGTGTGTGTGTGTGTGTGTGTGTGTGTGTGTGTGTGTGACAGATCCAGCGTGCCCTGCTTAGGAACAACCAGACTCAGCGTTTCTCCCAGAAACAGGCTCTCAGGCTGCACCAAGGCCTCGTCACCAGCACTGCCGAACAAGTGCGTGTCTGTATTTTGTGCACATGCTGGTGGAAGACGTTTGTGTTTTTAATGTTGGTGTGTACCGTTTGCATACGATTACATGCATTCAAGTTTGTTTAATTTGCATCTCATGTGTGCGCAGGTGATGGAGCGTCTGTGCGTGCGCGTGCAGCAGCAGTTGTGTGTCCTGAAAGGCAGCGAGGAAGGAGAGGAGGTCCAGACGGCCAGGCAGATCCTCAAAGAAGCCCGGGACTCGAGAGCTGTGAGTGGACTACCGCTTTATATCTCGTGTGTGTGTGACATCTAAACTCTGACTCGTTTTATATCTAAGGATGTGAGATACAGAAACTTAGGAAGTATGTAGTTTGTTTAGTGAATTGTCTAAAATTGTTAAAATATATAATTTATATTAGCAATGGATCACATGTCTACTTGTGAAAGGCTCGTGACAAACCCTCAGATATTTATCACCCGACTCTTTGCAGCTCCCCTCAGCTCTGCGGATCGTTAAAACATGTTTTTTTGGTTTTACAGCCCACAAATTTACTGTTTGGTTTCATTCTCACGGGTCTCACTGCTGTTGTTTTCAGCAACAAAGCTAATCAACCCACTGGATGCTCATCATCCGATGGCAGAAAGACAATGTGAGCAACTAGCTTGAGAACATATTGGAGCATTTAGCAGCTGAAAAGCCAATTCTCTCAGAAGTTAAAAGGAGAGCTAATGTTGTACTTATTTTAGGGAGTTGTACTGCACTTGAGTGTTTCCATTTGAAGCTACTTTATACTTTACATATATTATATTGAAATATTGTATTAATAAGTTGTAACTGATGACTTTATTAATGGTTATATAATTATTCAATAATAATTGATATGATAATATTAATAGTAGATCCATTATAAGCAATCAGAATAACTTTTATGTTGCCAGGTTGTGTTTTTCTTTAACGGTAACCGCGGCGCCACCTCTTGAGCTAAACCACAGTTCACAGCTCAGTTTGTTTTGTATCCTGGTTTAAATTAGCGCAGCACACACATCTCCCTTTTCTTTGTCCCTTGGATGAAACTCCTTGGATTCCGTCTCATTCACCAAATGAACTTTTCACCTGGGATAGTTCACAGAAGTGGAGAACTCTCCTTCTGTCAACTCTAATTAGACTAATGACTATTACTCACACATCAAAGGAGACTCCCAGGTGGAGCAGTGTTCCTATTTAGAGCCGTTTCTCTCTGTGATGGAGCTGAGCTGGAGCCAGATGGGCTACAATAAAGATAACCAAATGTAGGTAAAGAAACGACAGCAATTGGGGATATTTTTAAGAGCTGATGGCAATACAACTTAGCATAATTAGCACCTATTAGCTACAAATTCAAGATTTTGAGTTTCCTGTACCTTTAAGTTATAATAAGGTTCACATGCTTCTTACTGTCTAATGAGACAACATCAAAGGTTAGTGGATCTAGAGAGATTTTCCACAACCTGGCAACCCAAAATGTGTTAATTTACATCAAAATAATCCACAAAACATATCAGCTCCTAGATTATGATGATTTTGTTATTGATTAAACCAACTGAATATAATGTCGTCAAATAAGCTCCAACTGTAACTGTTACTATAACAGCACTATAATAATAATCCAACCATATATTACATAGAATATAACTTTCAGAAGCGGGACATTCTGCTTAATGACAACATTCCCTTTGACACTCGATCATTCCTCCACCGACGTTAACCTCTTCTCTTCCCTGTGTGTTTGTGTGTGCATCAGCTGTATCCCTCCCTGTGTGAGTTGGCCCATGTGTTGTCAGTGGACGGCCCCGTCAAGCAGCGACTGGACGCTCTGGCTGGAGAACTAGCCAAGGCTGCCGACAAAGAGCTGCAGGTATGTCGGTGGGGGGGGGAACTGTGGCCGTAATCGCAGACACCAGCCATTCCCCGATGCATCCGTATTTTAAACAGTAGTGGAGCTCTGGACTAGTTGCATTTAAATTGCCCATTAATGGCTTGTGGCTGTGCGTGTGCGTGTGTGTGTGTGTGTGTGTGTGTGTATATAGTGCAGGTGTGCTGACTTCAAAAGAAATGTAGCATTTAAATTCACAGCAACAGTTTAATATTTATTTTAGTTGCGTTCTGTTCCCGTCGGGATTCAGCAGCACAGCGCAGTTGAAAAGATAAAAAAGCAGCACACCCCGAGGAGGACTCTTGGATACTCTCTATTGAATTTCAACTTACTTGAGAATAATTAGCATTTCTGTTTGTGCTTTCAAATGTTTGCCGTTACGCAGAAGGCTACATTTTTAATTGGCGAAGGTCAAGATAAATATGCAATAATTCACTTCATGCGCAAGTGTCCAACTTCGGCGTGAACGGACGAAGTTGGATCTGGAAGAAGGCGGACCGGATCGTCTGAATCGTTAGTAGTTGATACACGGATGAATGTATGCTCCAATTCACATAAATAAAAGATGACGACAAGTCAGAGCAAAGGAGCTGGGTGAAAAACCTAAGCGAGCAGATAAAGAAACACCGTGCATGAATAATGAAATGCTTTGGAACCAGAGAATCCTGAATGTGTATGTATTAAGAATGTATTAGGAATGTGTGTGTGTGTGTGTGTGTGTGTGACGCATGTCTCGGTTCAACCGTCTCCAGGTGGTGGTGGACTCGATGGTGTCCCTGTGCCACGAGCTGTGTCCAATGTCCTGCTCAGCCGCCGAGAGACTCAGCATGCCTCTCTCGTCCATCTCCGAGCAAGTATCGATCCCGCGCTCCGCCATCCGCAACGCCCTCATGGAGAGAGCGGCTGAGGATATCAACAGAGCGCTGGAGTAAGGAGGATGAGTGAAGCCGTTGAAAGTCGAGCCAAGGTAGTGACTTTCATTCTCATTCCATCCTCTGTTTTCCTTCTCTCTCCTCTTTTCAGGGAGGTGAAGTTGTCTGTGGTCTCCTACCTGACCAACTCCATAGTGGATCAGATTCTACAAGAGCTGTACACCACCCATAAAACCCTGGTACTGGTAATGCCCCCTTTCTGCATGACTTCTTTGTAGAAACGTAGAGCAAACTAAGACTGCTAACCAAGCAAAGACGAGTATTTCACTAAATGTTGAACTATTCCTTAATGTTGCTCAACATAAATCTGCAATTCATAGTTTTGAGGGCAGAACAATGGGCCAACATGGCGGCTCGCACTGGACTCTCCATAGAGACGCAGCACAAGCCAGTCAAATTTGTAAGCCACGAATATTTGGATCAACTCTCAACTGAAGCAAAACAAAGATATGAGATCAAACTGCAGGTTTTTCGGCACTTGCGATCCATTTACAGCGTCCGCCGCCGTATTCACTAAAATTCCGCCACATCCATGTCAGGGCTCCACTTCGGCGATGTTTACATCTATGTTGTGGAGCTTAGACTTGTCTCCTTGTCAGTTAGTGCATCTGCATCAACCATCCGGCATTTTGGCAAAATCACTCACTTCGTAAGCAGAAGACAGCATTATTTTGCCCTCCAAAAACTATAAATGTCAGTCATTTTGGGAGGAAAGAGACCAAATCTGTATAAATGTACTCAAAGAATCACAACCCTTACATTGATCCAAACTCCACCTCCAGAAGTGATTGACAGGATGCGGGCACACCCTCTGACTTCTTTTCATTGGTTGGATGGTTTCCACACTTTGAGAGGATCCATCACCGTTTTCAAGTCTAATACCGTTCCTTGCTCCTCACCAAAAACAACAACTTATTTATGAATGATGATCCATGAGTAACCTACTGCCGCTTCTACAAAACCATTCTCTGGTTTGTGCGGTGTGTTTGTGTACGACATGATGATTCAGTACATTTTGTTAGGCAGTGTCTTTGCAGAGTAAGATGAGTCATGGATTAATCCGAACATACTGAATCTTTAAAGCGTAAGCAGAAAACATCAGTATTCTAAAAAAAAGTGTTTATGATCACACGCAATATTGATCAAATGTTGCCAGATAAGTACAACTTTGCCTCCAGCTACATCAGTGCAGTGCAGAGATGTAAGTGAGCGCCGTAGCGTCGACTAGGAAATGCCTCCAGATCACACTCAGAAGTCAAAGTCAGCACTCGAGAAAATTATAACATTTAAGATTCAATTTGGTGAGTTAAGAACCGGTAGTAGCAGAAGCTCGTTATTGGTCCCCTACAGTATGAAAGACAGTCTGTAAAATGGAGCACCCATTCAAATCCGATGCCTTGAATGCTTGAGCATCTTTAAGCGAAGTAGGCACTCTTTTTTTTCAGCTGCTGTGTCATTACCATATCAGGATGAAGGGTTGTAAGTATCGAGCAGCTTTTCTGGGAGAATATTGCACTCAGACAACAAGACAAGTGGATTTGTGTCCGTTAAGGACGTGATTGGACCCCTGCGGCTTCTCCTCTCCATAAAATTGAATTGTTTAAAATGAAGCCGGTGGAAAAAGATGCAAAAAAAAATAGACTTCTGGCAATAACACTGCCTCGCCCTGCTCTGTTTTGCATTCCATTCAGCCCGTGTCGTCGATCTCATTTTCGTTTTCTCTGTTTTGCTGCAGTGCGAGTTTGTCCTCTATCATGCCTCACTTTGCTTTAATAAACAAGATATTGCGTTTTATCCATATTCTTCATGGGCTTCGCAAAACTATAGCAAAGTATCCTCTGCTTTGATTGGGAGCTTCTTGTGTACAGCGGCGGACGCACTTGGCCTCTGAGATTGAGTCGAAGGATATTGTTCCGTGTGTGTGTGTGCGTGCGTGCGTGCGTGCGTGTGTGTGTGTGTTGCATCAGCTGAGGCAGGTGTCTCAGGTGAAGCGCTGGGATGACGTCGGGACGGGGAGACGCACTGTCAGACAGTCCAGAATAATGGAGTCTCTGGATTTTCCTGATGAGGACTTTGGCGTCAACCTGGGAATAGTAAGTGACATGCTGATGATATGTGTAAATAGTGAGTTTCCTTTTTAATCCAGAGGTACACATGTGTAGGATTATTGAGCATTACCTAGCAGTTGTTGGATGACGACAATTGTGATTATCAGTTGATAGTTTAGGTCGAGTGAATTCACTAGTTTCAGCTTCTGAAATGTGCATTGCTACTTTTCTACTGTAGCAAATCCTGTGAATTAAATACCATTTGGATTTGGGGCTATTGAATGGAGAAAGTAAGCAATTTCAAAATGTACACCAGGATGTCCTGCTGCATCAGGTCACATTTCTTGCGAGCCAGCATGCTTTTCTGGCTATTCTGACCCACAATCACCTGCACAGCAGATAAATGAGCAAGAAGGAAGTTCAAGGTGCAGAATTATGACAAATTAAAGCTGCGAGCAGCATTGGTTGGGCCCTCGCAACTTCACGCACGTCGAGGGTACTAGCAGGACTCTGGCCATGCATTTCTGTGACCATCACACTCTGCGTGCACGAGTGAGATATTTCCTGCGTAGACCAGCAGCGTAGCAAGATCATGTTGCCAGGTCTTAAGCCTCAAATGTTTTGAGTGTACATCCGATACAATCATAAATGTAAGCCTGTTAAGATCATTAAGAAAATGAATGTGTGTGAATGCGCTTCAGTGTTTGTAACATAACAGACTGTCAGTTTACTGGGATGGGGTTCAACTCCCTGCAGTGTCCTGCTGATTGTATTTGGACTTGCATGAAAGTTAACAAAACGGTAGTGCCATTTGCTGTTACTTGAACACTTTAATTTAGCACTGTTTTCATTTTAAGTTCTTCTGTAACTTTAGAGTGTAGTGTGAAGCATTCATTATAACGTTTAACCTGATTGTCATGAAGAAGCTCTGGACAGATCATTTACAGTGGGTACGGAAAGTATTCAGACCCCTTTAAATTTTTCACTCTTTGTTTCATTGCAGCCATTTGCTAAAATCAAAAAAGTTCATTTAATTTCTCATTAATGTACACTCAGCACCCCATCTTGACAGAAAAAAAACAGAAATGTAGAAAGTTTTGCAAATTTATTAAAAAAGAAAAACTGAAATATCACATGGTCATAAGTATTCAGACCCTCTGCTCAGTATTGAGTAGAAGCACCCTTTTGAGCTAGTACAGCCATGAGTCTTCTTGGGAATGATGCAACAAGTTTTTCACACCTGGATTTGGGGATCCTCTGCCATTCTTCCTTGCAGATCCTCTCCAGTTCCGTCAGGTTGGATGGTGAACGTTGGTGGACAGCCATTTTCAGGTCTCTCCAGAGATGCTCAATTGGGTTTAGGTCAGGGCTCTGGCTGGGCCAGTCAAGAATGGTCACAGAGTTGTTCCGAAGCCACTGCTTTGTTATTTTAGCTGTGTGCTTAGGGTCATTGTCTTGTTGGAAGGTGAACCTTCGGCCCAGTCTGAGGTCCAGAGCACTCTGGAAGAGGTTTTCTTCCAGGATATCTCTGTACTTGGCCGCATTCATCTTTCCTTCAATTGCAACCAGTCGTACCGCCATAGCATGATGCTGCCACCACCATGTTTCACTGTTGGGATTGCATTGGGCAGGTGATGAGCAGTGCCTGGTTCTCCCCACACATACCGCTTAGAATTAACGCCAAAAAGTTCAATCTTGGTCTCATCAGACCAGAGAATCTTATTTCTCATAGTCTGGGAGTCCTTCATGTGTTTTTTGGCAAACTCTATGCGGGCTTTCATATGTCTTGCACTGAGGAGAGGCTTCCGTCGGGCCACTCTGCCATAAAGCCCCGACTGGTGGAGGGCTGCAGTGATAGTTGACTTTGTGGAACTTTCTCCCATCTCCCTACTGCATCTCTGGAGCTCAGCCACAGTGATCTTTGGGTTCTTCTTTACCTCTCTCACCAAGGCTCTTCTTCCACGATTGCTCAGTTTGGCTGGACGGCCAGGTCTAGGAAGAGTTCTGGTCGTCCCAAACTTCTTCCATTTAAGGATTATGGAGGCCACTGTGCTCTTAGGAACCTTGAGTGCTGCAGAAATTCTTTTGTAACCTTGGCCAGATCTGTACCTTGCCACAATTCTGTCTCTGAGCTCCTTGGGCAGTTCCTTCGACCTCATGATTCTCATTTGCTCTGACATGCACTGTGAGCTGTAAGGTCTTATATAGACAGGTGTGTGCCTTTCCTAATCAAGTCCAATCAGTTTAATCAAACACAGCTGGACTCCAATGAAGGAGTAGAACCATCTCAAGGAGGATCAGAAGAAATGGACAGCATGTGAGTTAAATATGAGTGTCACAGCAAAGGGTCTGAATACTTATGACCATGTGATATTTCAGTTTTTCTTTTTTAATAAATTGGCAAAAATTTCTACATTTGTTTTTTTCTGTCAAGATGGGGTGCTGAGTGTACATTAATGAGAAATAAAATGAACTTTTTTGATTTTAGCAAATGGCTGCAATGAAACAAAGAGTGAAAAATTGAAAGGGGTCTGAATACTTTCCGTACCCACTGTATACTAATGCCCACTGACATGGTTTGAAAATCCACTGTTATCTAACTTTTGCTCTCCAAGCATCTTAGTTTGCACATATTTAGATCAGAGAAGTCTTTTTCTCATGGTGTGCCCACAAACCCTTTCAATAAGTTCAGTGTTTGGGCCGCTGTAATTATAGAATCCTGCTTACATCCGTGCTTATCAGTAGGTGGCGCTGTGACTATGAGATAATATTGGCATGCAGAAGTCCTAAAGCCATGACAGTCAACAAGCATGTCAAGTTTGGGACAGTTTGACAAAGTACAGTCGCGTTACAACAGCTTGATGGATGATGGTGAACCATGTAAAATGGCCATCACACCACATCCACGTCGTTCGATGAAACCTAAAGCTTTTAGTAACTTTTAATCGCTCAGGTCTTTAGATTGTTCTGACCAAATTCTAAGCTGATCGGATTAATTCCCTAGGAGGAGTTCGTAGTACAGCACCTGGAAATGGAAGAAAAACACGAGAAATTCATACAAAATTCAAAATTGCTGACTGCCCGTTGGGTTTAGAGCATGGTCCCAAGAGACTTTATTTTAAGTCCACATGTGATTTTTTGTAAATCTATGTGAAACGTACAGCGAGGGCTGCTTCGTTGAAATTTTGTAGGGGGCGCTATTGAGCCGATTTGCCACTCTGAACCAATAAAATCATATTATATAACTACATTTTGGGCTTTAAATGTGTATGCCAAGTTTGCTTATGTTTCGAGCATGTCTAGCCTCTCAAAAACACCTTAATTTTTCATGGTGAAGAATGCGTCGCCACGGCAACAGCTTTTCACGAAACAACAAGCTTTGATTAACTTTTCATCACAAAGGTCTTTAGACTGTACCGACCAAATTTGAAGTTGATCTGATTAATTCTCTCGGAGGAGTTCGTTAAAGTGCAGCGCCTGGAAATGACAAAAACACTAGAAATTCATAAAAAATTCAAAATGGCTGACTTCCGGTTGGGTTTAGAGCATGGCCCCAAGAGACTTTTATTTAAGTCCATATGTGATACATGTTCCAACCAAATTTCATACATCTAGGTCAAACAGACTGCGAGGGCTGCTTCGTCGAAATTTTGTAGGGGGCGCTATTGAGCCGATTTGCCACTCTGAACCAATAAAATCATATTCCATAACTAAATTTTGGGCTTGTAATCTGCTTGCCAAGTTTGCTTATGTTTCGAGCATTTTTAGCCTCTCAAAATGACCTTCGTTGTTAACGGCGAAGACTGCATCGCCATGGCAACGGCGTTCGACGAAACATCAAAAGCTTCATGAACTGGCATTATTAACTTCTTACATTTGTGTGGAAGTAATTTGATGTTGATTTGATTTACCTACTAAGAGAAACAAGCCAAAGTATAATTACTTTAACTTCCTGTTACCAGTAGGTGGCGCTATGACTATGATTCAAAATTAGCATGCAGATGTCGTCAGCCCGGGAGTCTAATCAAACGTGCAATCTGGTAAAGATCTGATATGGAGTCGAGTTGCATCAGTTTATTCGTTCATGTCGAAGGATCGAAATTCGCCGAGCCGCCACGTCGCCGCCCTTCAACAACTTCTTACAATCTTCACAATGAAGCATTATCAAGGTCTTAAGGCTGTTCTGACAACATTTTAGAGGGATCTGATTAATCTGTGAGGAGCAGGATGTCAAAGTACACAACTTACAACTTCCAGTTGCCACTAGGTGGCGCTATTACTATGATTCTAAATTATTACATAGATGTGTTCCGGGTCAGGATGTTATGACATATGAGAGATTTGGAGCAGATTCGACAATGTACGGCTGAGTTACAACAACTTCCTGTTTCACGGCGAATGGTGTTTATTTGACGCCACGCCACGGACACATAGTTCGATAACTTTTTGATCTTTGAGTAACTTTTCACTGCCAAGGTCTCAAGAGCATACTGACCGAATCTGAAGTCAATCGGGTTAAATCTCTGGGAGGAGTTCGTTAAAGTACGACGCCTTGAAATGGTCAAAAAACGTCATAAAAGTCAAAATGGCCGACTTCCTGTTTGGTTTAATGAATAACTCCAAGAGGATTTTTTTGTGCGTCTCATCACGTTCCACATACCGACCAAATTTCATACAGCTAGGTGAAACCCAATGTTGGGGCTACTCAATAGGGGGCGCTATCAAGCCAATATGTCATACCGCAGCTGGACACCCCAATCAGACTGCAATTTTCGCAAATTCTGGCTTGCGTGCCAAATTTCAGGAGTTTTCCAGTATCCCAAGCACCTCCTTTTTGCGACGAAACCCTAAAAATAATAATAATAAACATACGAAAAACAATAGGTCCTCCGCTCCGACTACGTCGGTGCTTGGGCCCTAAATAGTATATCCAAACTGAACGCATACTGCATGGGGCAGCAGCAGTGTGTACTAAAAGCAAAAAGAAAACATTATGTGATTTGGAACGCAGCTCACATTTCCCATAATCCCTGTAGCTTCCCACTGCAGAGAAGATGCTGATTTCCACTTCTTCGCACCGTCTCTCTCTTCTCTCTTTTACTGAAGAGGATAAACATGTTGGAAGTAATCTTCTCATCATCTTTGTTCCACTTTTTCAGGAGGAACAGTCCTTAAAGCAACCAAACCGATTTCCTCTGAAATACAGTCACAGCATTCTTTTTGGTTCAGGACAGTTATGGTTTAAAATGTACTGGTAATTTATTAATGTCGAAATACAATACGTAACCCACTTATTCCCTTTGCTTGCTTTGTGCGTTGTTGTCCCGTCTGTTAAAATATTTAGATGTTGTCACGGGGTGTGGTGGAGGACTCAAATGCAGACAAGACTAGAAGTTGAGTGAAGCAGGTATTTAATGGATAAAGAGATCGGAACAGGAACTTACAGGAACACAAGAGGGAATCCACAGACGAGACAAGGGGGGAAATCCAGCAAAATGAGGCAGGGCAGGCAGACGGGGAAACCCGGGAACAGGACGAGCCAAACGGGCGGGTAGACGTGACAATGATCTGGCAGTGGGTGGGTGTGTGACTGGGGTTTAAATAGTGGATGCACCAGAGTGAGCCGGTGAGAGTAATGAGCTGATGAGGTGGGTGTGACTGGCAGGTGCACTGAATAAACTGATTAGGTGAGTGAGAGATGGACAAAACAGGATAATGGTGGCAGAGCTGTGACAGATGTAATGTTAGAAATAAAGTCACTGCTCATTATGCGTTTATCTCCTTTGACAAAAGGACACAATGGCTATTAAGAAGAGGAGCTCCCGAACTAGAAGAATCCGTCCCGTCTCCACCCGACAGAGTGAGTTTTTGTGCCTCGACTCGCAGGCTCAGAGTCAAGTGGTGCTTTAACTTTTCTCAGTAGTGACTGTGTTATTAACCAGTGTATGTAATCTTGCATGTGATATATTAATATTGGAGGATTAACCCTTTTTTAAGTGATAGCATGGCCTTCTCTGTGATACAGCCTACGGGCCCAACTTGACATTTTTGCCCCACTAGTGGTGATGGTCTACGAATAACAGAGTGTCTTCTCCATTTCATCCATTTTCTGCCTCACAGGACCACTAAACTAAAGGCCATGGACGGTTTTCATATTTGTCTTCTCATATTTGTCTATGTAATTGAACTCAACATGCTATATATTAATATGCAGTCTACTGTAGGACAGAATGTGACCTATAAAATCATTTATTTTTTTGTCTCGTTGTAGGTCTAGGTGATGAGCCCAGTCCCTCTCCTACCCCCTCAGCCCCACCCCACTCTGCCCCTCTTACCCACTCGGCATCATGGGAGTGTCTGTCCACCCTCCCGACCAACGGCTCGCCCTTGCGTCACGTGACCCACGTCAGGCCTCGCCCGCCGCGGAGACACAGAGCGGGTCACCCTCCCCCGGAATCTGTAAGTCGATGGCAAACGGCGTGGCAGTGACCTTTGACCTTACTCTGAGCTTCAGTTGGCAGGAAGCGGCATTCCCTCGAGCTTCTTGTAACGGGGGAAACTCCAAAGGGTAGTTTCTCCCCCATGAACAGATTTGTAGCTCTTTTTTTTAACTGTATGACATCTGGATCTTTTTATGGCACCTGGAAGGTAACGTTTTTACTACGCTAGTGGCACCACTGTATATGTTTAACTGCCCCAATTGTGGATCTCACGCTGCAGCATGATGTTCAGTCCGTGTGTTTTCACTAACGAGCTTCAGAGGCGCGTTGAGGTGAGAGTAAACCCGAGATGTTTAGTTGTCAAGGGTTTCTTTTTATCTCTTGCATTCTTTGCGTGAACTGTTGTTATTTATCTCGTTTTCCGTGCCGGTGGCACTTTCCAAAAATAAGTTCCTTTTTAAAGTAGGAAGCTGTCGCATGCGTCTCTGTGACTCGATTGTTCATCATGCGCCGCCATCTCTCTGGGGCCGCCGGGCAGGCTCTAACTTAGCGGCTTGTTTGTTTTGAGACTTTGTAAAAGGGCTTATTCTAAATCTGTACAAACTCAGTTAGGGCGGCGTGATGAGGAGTCGTTTTACAAACAGACTTCTGTCGGCGCTGGATTTGGTTCTGCCAGCAAGCCATTTGAAATGATGATACCTTTTGTCAGCCTTTCAGTTTTTTGTCGACATGGCAGATTGATCATTGTTATCCTGTTGTTCTATTTGTTTCCTGTTATGTATGTGTGTGTGTGTGTGTGTGTGTGTGTGTGTGTGTGTGTAGCATAGTTCGGAGAACGGAGGAGTCAGTATGCTGGAGGATGGACTGCCTGATTTCTACAGCAAGAGAGTTCTACCCGACAGGTAGCTCACAACATCAGCTTGCACATTCAGCCAGTGGTTTCAAACTATTCCACTGATGTACAGGTGGTGGTAACGCTCCAAAACAACACAATGAAGCAGCAAAGCACAGACAAAATAAATACTAACAAAAACTAAAATAAGATATATTCAGACTGAGTTAAAATATGACAATATCTCCCCACCGCTGCCACCAAGCAGGCAAAACAATCATTTGAATGCACGTTTTAAGTCTACAAATCCAATAACTTAGGATTCCGGGGCAATGTGTTGCCACTCAGTATGATTATTGCCGTGCAGTCAGTGACTGAATCAGTGTCTCCCAAAGCCTCCAACCATGAAGGAAAAAGGCAGGATCATCACGGCCTGTCTTCCTAAACCCTGACTGATCGTTTTAATCATAATTGTGGGATCGTCTTCTCATAATTATCACATAAAAAATGTTTTAATTACAATATGCTAAACTCTAATCATGAGACACTGAGTTAGAATTGTGATGAATACAATTCATAATTATGGGAGAACGCTTCTGAGTTTTTGTTTCTCCCTTCGGTGAACGTAAATGTGTTTCAGTAAAAATGAAATGGAAATGTTATCAGTGTTCCATCACATTGTAGTTACTTGAACAGAATCATTTCATACATTTCATCCAAATAGAGCTGAATGATAGAAATCCCGTGGCCTCTTTAAAGGGGTCGTTTTAAACGTGTCTAAACGCATCATATTAGCCGTGTATGAAGATGTGAATGACATTTGATTCAGTGGGTGAGATGCTCAGTCTTACATAAAACTTACCAAACCGCTACAACAAAAATAACAATATGTTAAAACGCACCTACATAAGAGGTGTTCCTGCTGTATGCTACGTACAGTTCATTCTACATGCAGGACGACAGCTCTCATGTCACGTACCGGTAGTGATGATAAATGAGTGACATGCTCCTGAAGCACTTTGCCAAAGATGTAGAGGAGTGTTTGTTTTGCACTGAATAGAGACCTACTTTGTAGCGCTATTTGTTCAATAACCAGAACATATTCCATTATATGAAATAAATCATCTTGTTTACTGTCACAGTCCATCCTCCTGTTTACGGACTCATTTTACTTTGGAACTGCACAGTGTTCACGCAAGGTAGTCTCTTTGCTGACTGTCTGTGAATACAGATCTGTGGCAAAGCAACTATATGCTGAAGAAATGCAAACATTTGCTTTCATTAAAATAGCAACAATAAAGCTCGATTAAGCATTTTAGCATCTTTTAGCTCAATGTTTTGGTTTACAGGTCTGCAACTTTCTGCATTTTCTACTAGCTGTGGGGGGGGGGGGGAGAGAGGGGAGAGAGGAGAGAGAGGAGAGAGAGAGAGAGAGAGAGAGAGAGAACTCTTATGTTCTGCTGGAATGATGAATAGTTTTAGACTCGACAGGTAAATGATATGTTAACGTTGTGTTTACAGCTTGTTTTCCCCCCAAAAGAAAATCAATCATTGCAGGTTTAAAGCAGCACTTCAAGTTTAATTTTAGGATGTAACCAAAACTGTATATCTTACAGCATAAATATAAGTGAAACTATTAAAAAAAGACTAACATGAAATACTCCAACAAGTGTTTGCCAAAGAAACACAGTTCACTGGGTTAAGACTTTTAGGTTGGTCTAATGATGAGAACACATTCAAGGTCAGTTTTAAGTTAGCCATTTATTAGCAACGTACTTTATTTGACTCATAAAATCGTTGATTTTAGATTGTAATATAATCATACGTGGCTCAAAAAAGAAGTTGAAATTAAACAGCACTATGACTCCCCAAACCACATGGAAATAGTAGTTCCTAAACGGTTAGGTCACATGACGCTGTGTGGTTAATGCTCACCAGCAGTGCGTGAAAAAGAGTCATTGAGGCAGCATGAACTGTGCCTACTGCCTTCTGTCGCATGTATTAAACCATCTGCACAGGCCCACTCAGAATGGGGGAAAAAACCCAACATTATGGTCAAATGGGTCATTAACATAAGTAACACTTATATAGGATGTACACTGGTCAATAATGGTTGATGGCTAATTGGCATTAATGCTACAACTGTCCTTTATCTGCCTGTTCTTTTACCAATAACTCTCTCTGATTTCCCCTCCTCTTTCTCTCCCCTTCAGTCAGTTGTCATCCCTCCATCAGGGCCAGTCGCTGAGGAGGAAGAAAAGACGCAGCGTCTTGTCCATTTTCTCCGGCTTCCGCAAGAACCGCAACTCCACCATCTCTAACCAGGACTCGGAGTGAGTACGCAGCACCGGGGGCCTGCAGGGGAAGGAGGGGGGATGAGAGGAGGATTTAAGTGCACAGACCCAGAGAATGAGATGGCTGTTAAATGAATCCAGCGGCGGGCGTGAACGTCACTTCATTGCGTCATGAATATTTCAATGGAAGAAAATATTTCGCCCTTGCTTTTGAATTCGATGGCATTGCATGCATTCGAGCTGCCGTTGCATAACGGCACCGGGGAGGAGAAAGTACAAGGCGGAAGATTTCTTTAAAAAAAAAATTACACAGATTAATAACTGTGGGTGCAGAAATGCACTCTTTGTAAACGTCACCTTTTTAAAAGGAGTTACAGTTGCAAAAGAACGGGGAGAAAGAGGCACTCAGTGGGAACTGCGTGTGAGTTTCAACCGACTGAGGTGCTTACAGATTGAACTCAAAGGAAATGTGACTAAACACTGGTGGCACCGGTAATGTGTTCGCCTGTGCTGTTGATCCACCATGCTGCGGCGCTGGAGTTACACTCTGTGTACACAGTTGTGTGAAAGAGGACTACAGAACAGATGTGTACGATGTAGTGTTCTACCTGCAGATTGTTCACCTGGCCGCCTCCTGCACACATTCCTGCACACATTCCTTTCGTCTTCCTTTGGATTGGATTTATATTATTTTTTTATTTATTGTCTTTATGCCTCACAGGGATGCATGACAGAATGCAGTTGTGCTCCATTTGCAACTCAAGAAAAACATGACAGACGAAGCAAAACACAAACGGTAGAGCATGTCTGTAGGGCATTGTTTTGAATTTGTTTCAGGAGGAATGTAGACGGCGGCAACGAAAACACTTCTCTGGGCAGATACTATGGCTGACATTTTAACATTAAAAACTCGACATCGGGAAAACATTGTCCATCAGTTCTGCGCTTTCTTTCGCTCGCTGTCCTGCGGTTCGCCCATCAAGTGCTGCTTGAAACGGAAGGCCACGATTAGGCCCGTTCTCTGTAAAGATGTGGGCTCAACAGTCATCGACCTCCCGTTGCTGGGTTCGCCCTAAAGTCTTATTTTCTTATTTTCCAGCGACCGAACTTCAGACTGCCAGGAGTAGGCTGTGTAGCGGAGCAGCCTCGGGTCCTAGCTGGGTTAGCTTAGCTTCCATCTCAGCTCTTCTCCCTCTCATCCCTGCCGTCTTAATACAACAGCAAAGATTATTTAGTTTGTTAATAATTACAGATGAATGCACAATATATTCATAACATCGCAAGTAAGTCAGTTAAAGGGCAAGTTAGATCACCGAACACTTCCTCGCATCATCCCGTGCCTCTCGGGTCAAACCTCAAACTCATAAATACTCATCAAAATCTTTTGGTTTTTTTTCCCTTTGTCCGCTCCAGCAGCACCTCAGAGAACGTCTACTCGATGATTCAGCACTCTAAGGAGGTTGGGAAGCCCGAGAGCACTGTTCCTGGAGCAAACGGGACCATGCCTTCACCTCGGCCCGTGCAGGATGTGCCTGTGCATGGGATGAGGGCTGCCAGTCCCTCCTGCCTCATCCAAAGACAGGTGCAGTGTTCGGGACAGTCATAGTGAGAAATCCAAACAAATTCACCACGGACGGTGAATCCTGAAGCAGCTCCGAAGATGCTGCGCTCCAGCCAACTGTGACCTTTGAACTCGTGGCGACACTACGCGAGCGTGTGTTTGATTTACAAATAGCCAAAACATTTTTGGCACACGTTGCATTGTTCCCCTGCGGAATAGTGCAGCAATCTGTTAGTAGTAAATGCAAATGTGCAACGATTTCATGACACAGTGCATCGATGTTCCCAGTCTTTATCGGTGCTGGACGTGTGTCGCTTGTCAGAGATGTGGCCTATTTTAAATCTCTGTTCAAAATCCACGGATCCTCTCTGAGCCTTGAGAGGATTTGAGGACATCCCCGAGAAAATGAGGGATAATTAAATTTTCGTATTAGTTGAATTCACTAGAATTACAAAATGTTAATCGTAGCCCTCACTCTTACCACTGCTACTACCAGACTAATGGTCAAGACTAGTTGTCAATGATTCAGTGCATCATTGACAACAGGGAATCCTAGACGGTATATTATAAGGTATGTGAAGTCTGACTTTTTTTTGTTTGTCGTTGTCCAGTCCACAGACCTGGTCAGCATGGTGTACAGCTGCATCGGGGCGGAAATCGAGGACTCGGATGGGAGCAGCTCCTGCGACATCAAAGAGATGGACCAAGGTACTGACGGAACGACCGCCGTCTCTGACGCAGATCCTCGACCTAATGGCCACGTGGCGTCCTCCGAGCACCAGACGGACAGACAGATGGAGAAGGGCCGGCAGGAGAGGATCGTTCCCCTGACAGACCCGCGGACTGACACGGAGGAGGATAGAGAGGACGGCGGCGGCGGCGGTGGTGGTGGGAGTGGGAGCGCGGTCCCCTGTGGGCCGAGGCCAGAGCCACCTCCACAGAGCATCAAGCCCAGTCTGGCTGTTATGAGGCAGAGACACCTGCAGGAGAGTTTAGGTACTGCAGCTGAGACCACAAGCGAAGTTGTATTGCAGTTGTTGTATGATTGTTCTGGCTCAGTTTGAACAACAGAGTTTCAATGTGCAAGACTCCTCATACAAACAGCCTAACGGACTTTCTAAATGTTACTTCAAGCACAAAACGATGAACAAACACAAAATGCAAAACATTAAATCATATTGCTCAAGCATATCTAGTTATTTTAGCAGCTTTGCAACATAATATTTACACACTGTACAAACATCACCACAGTGGCAAAAGAAATCCCATTTATTTCCTTTAGTAACTTTGAAGTTTGAGATGCAGGAGTGTAAATTGTGGTTTAATTGTACAGTATATTACATTAAAGCTCACTCTGTTTTACAGTAGCTGATTACATTTTCAAGTTAAATTTTGTTTCTTATGTTTGATAAACAGAAATGGTAAACTGATGCAGTGACGTTCAATCACATTTATTACATGAATATTGAAGCAGGATTAATGTAGTGTAAAGTCATAATACTGTTGGATAGATAGCGATGCTTTGGTTTAATTACTGTAAAATGAAGACAGCTGGCTGGCTCTGTGTAATTATACGCTTTTTTCAAAATCCATTTTCTGATGTTAAAATGCGGCATGTGGCACCTTTTTTAAATACCTCAATCGATTATAATTCCGAGCAATAACGTAACATTAATGATGAATTACCAGATTTGCATGTAGTACAAAGGAATGTATAGATGGCAGCTAACAATACTGGTTCACAGTGATACATTTTTGTAGCTCTGCTCTGTGAACAGTTAAAAAAAACAAGCTCTCTGGGGAAAGAAGCCACATGAAGAAGGAAGGAAACTACTACGGTAAAATCAAAGATAGATCAGCGTCATTAAAAGATTTCTTCAAGACAAGTCTGTCAAAGTGAGTTTAATGAGAGACAACAGTACAAGCAGGCGGAGGTTTGATTGGCACAGTCCCAAAGGTACGCTGTCGCAAACTATAAGGGCCTTTACAGAGAGACGGCCATTGTTGAGGGCTATTGTTGGTTTCAAGTCTAGACTTCGTAATGAGCAAAACTACAGACGACACTCTGGCTCAAAGGGAATTAAGAGATCAGTACAACGGCTGGAGGCCAGAGCAGGTCATCCCAAAACATCAATGAAAATAACCTTTAGATTGACAATAAAAATTGGGCCGTTGCCCAGAAGAGTACGCTTTCTGATTGATAAAAAGTGAATATATGATTGATAATGGCTGCTGCTATTTTTTTAATTTTTTTTTTGACATCAGGGAGAACCCGTTAGCATGTAGCCATAGTATATGAGCATGTAGCCATAGTATATGAGCATATTTTGCATATCCTTTTGTCTCAAAGTTGTAGAAATCTCTTAACATAGAAATGTAAAGCAACTCTCATACTTTTGGAGCTTTATTTTGTACTTATTCTATTGTTTTTGTTTGGAAATGTGAGCCCCGACTACACTGGGACTGAAATCACAGCCAAACGTATAAAGCACAATTACAGTGTGGACCTGCTCCTCAGTGTTGAGACTCGAGGGCTTTTACTTTTAACTGTACAACAAATCTCTGACGGGTCTTCGTACGGCCTGTGCTGACTGTGTTTTTGTCTCACCAGAAGAGGCGGGAAGGCTGCAAGGAGAAGAAGACCAGAGTGAAAGGAAGCATGACGAGAAGCCGAGAGCGCGAGGGCCAGAGGGACAGCGTCCTGTGCTGCCCAATAAGGTATGTGTACGGCATGTGAAACAGACGGAGGAAAGCATTCACTGCTGACTCTTTTGACGCGTCACATAGCACACAACCGCTGCGTTCCTCCCGCAGTCCGGTCTCGACCTCTCAAGAGACGACGCCTCCCTGGAAAAAATGGCCATGGCCTCTCCCAACACCTCCCCCGTGAGTCCAGGTGAAGAATCGACCGATGACCAGAGGAGCTTGCCTCCTGCTCAGCCAATCATCGAAGAGGCGGGAAGTCAACCAGCATCGGCCAAGCCAGGGATAGAAGCAGCCGACCCCGTCAGTCAAGGTGCTGTAACAACTTTACTTGTGATGTAGTCGATAACGCATGATTAAAAAAAGTGTCGTGTAATCTTCTTGGATTTTTTTTTTTAGTCTGAAAAAGTTTCAGATCTGTTATTCCTCTGTATCGTCATTGTAGATGTAATACAAATATCTGAGTTCTACTAGTTAGAATGAAGTGGCAACATATAGAATACTGTTAGTTGATGATGACATCTTCAAGGCCATTTTGACAGAATATGATCAGATGATGATGATTTTTATGACCGTTCCCCCAACCAGATGAGGAAGAAGGTCATAATGGATTTCCAGCAACATCGCGTCACACCAGGAAGTCCAACTCGTTTGACATAGGTATGTCTGACGCCGTGGTTACCCTAATCTGTTGTGCACACATTAAGATGAACACAACGTGCATGTTTAGTTCTACGCATGGATGTCTGACACAGATGCACATCTCGCTGTTTTTGTTCATAATTCATAACAATGGCGCAATGCCTTTTGTTGTTTATTATCAAAAGAAAGCAGCGCGAGTCTCTTATTTGATGTGCTCCCATGCCCGTAGAGCTTCCTGGCTGCGTTACCGCATTGCTGCTTCACCCTCCAACCCCTTTTCTGTTCCCACACCCCACTCTGTGTTTGTGTGTGTTCTCGTGCCATTTCCCCTCAGGCATGGAACGGGACAGCCCCTACGATCTGGAGAGGTCCTCAGATCACATATTTTCTGTGAAAAAGACCCGTTTCCCCCAGCACAGAAACAGATCTCTGGACTACCCTGCTGGGACCAGGTGTATGTATCGGTTTCACTTCCTGCCAATATGTGTGGTGTGACAACCATGTAGCAAGAAGAGTTTGCACCCTTGAGTTTTAAAAAGATTTTTAGCTGATATGTACAGTTTTAATTAAAAGTAGACTAAAGTCAGTGACAAATTCAGTTTCTGAAGTCAAATAAAAGCCAAATAAGAAGGTTTGTACAGTTTAATTTGATCATTTATTTTTTGAAAAAGCTCAACTCAACATGGATGAGTCATACCCAACATATTGAATGCATGCTTGTTCTGGTATTTTTTGAATGGCTGACCAAAGACAGAAATCCTAAAACATAATTTAAAGATGTAATTTGGCTGTTTTCCAGAAACGTCTCATGGCAGCCGGATCTGACGCTGCCTGGATAAGCGTTTAAACCAGAACCCTTAAACAGATAAATCACTCCTGAATTAATTCGAGCCGATTCCTTTTTGATACTATGTTGCATTATTGAGATAATTGGCAGCCATGTTGAGCTGATTGGTCATCAGTTTCTACACTGAGCTGTTATTGAAGATGAAACCCCCCGTAGCAGTGGAACTCCAGGGGCACTAATGACGTGGCACAACCACTGCCAATTGCCTCTGTAATACAGAACTGTATATCAAAAATAATGCTGTATGGGACGAAATTACAATCACTATGAGAATCATAAAAAGGTCCACATGTCAGAAATGATGGCATAAAAGCCAGTTGTGTGGAAGCTGCGTGGTCCTCTGGGTCCTCTCTGGTTACATTTCAGACAGGCCGATGCATCGAGCAGAGACTTCATCATCTGGACAACAGGCACGTTGTCACATTTGTGTTTCCTGTACACCAGTGATTTCTTAAAGTGGGGTCTGGGGACCCCCAGGGATCCATGGCACTCTGCCAGGGGGTCTGTGAAAAGTTTACAGATTCATTCATTTTAAGTTATGATATAAAGATGTGTATCTCTCTAATAACTTTCTCTTGTGGTGTTCCTTTGTATTTCTAAAACTATTCAAATAAAAAAATATATGCTGTCAAATAATTCCAAGGGACATGCATGAGAGGGTCTCGACAGAGTCCTTGGCTGACAAAATGTGAGAACCTTTCCTGTACACGGTGAAATCTGAATACTTGAAGTGTACGGACAATTTATTTGTTGTGGCCACCTTGGGGCAGCAGAACAAGCTAAAAACACAGAAGTGGGCGTGGTCACCGTGACGTCACCCATTGGTTTGTGGACTACTGTTTTGAGGCCTTGAGTTCGGCATTTTGTCCGTCGCCATCTTGGTGTTTTTACAACCAGAAGTGAAACCCGAAAACATATTATTAGGTGACCAAAAAGGTACAATTAAGTTAGATAAACAGAACGTTAACCCTTTCACAGTCTGTTTTCAAAGACGAAAAAACAGGCGGACAAACCTGTCAATCACAGTAGCCCCGCCCTAAAGCACACCCTGCTTTATGGTCTATGTGACTCTAAATGGTCCATCGTTTACTAAATGAACATCATGTGTAAGAAGACTTGAAACTCATGTTTACAATATTTACTGAGGGAATAAATCAAGAGAGAAGTAGAGTCATTTTCTCATACACTTCTATACAATAAGCAAACATAGAACAACATTAGTATTAGTATTACCTGATGAATGGAAACCCAATTTTCATTCCATTTTAGCATTTGCACCCAAATGCTCTACTATGCTCACTAGCTAGCTCTGTCTTTCTGCTGTTTGGCACCAAGAAAGTAGAGTACAATAGGTTTATTTATTTAGAGTTGTTTGTTGTTGTTTTTTGCTGCAAACAGCTGTCTGCTCTGATTTAATAGAAGGTTGTCAAGAGCCGAGTTGCGTGCCAGAAATCCAACACAAAGATTCCAAATGGACCGAAAGGCTGTGCAGAGCTTATTAGGGCAACTGCATTAGTTGGGGGATTATTCTCTGTGGGTTTGGCACTGCGGCTGACCCCCTCCACATAACATACAGTCATTTGATCTGTTGTTAATGTGAGATATTGATTGGTGCAGCTTTAATCCTGCTATATCTGGATTATTTAGAGTGAACAGAAAGGACCTTATTAAAGTTGATGCGGTGAACTTGTCAGGAAACGGTTGCCTATTTACAAATGAAGCACATACGCAGCAACATTCTCATTCAGCCGGAGTCGCGTTTGTGTTCAACTGATGAATGCAGGTCCAATACTCGCCGTCCTTCTAGCTCTGCAGCTGTAAAGCAAGTGCAGCTTTGGGTGAAAACTGTTCTGTCTGTCTGTCTCTACTAGTGACACGTTGATAACGGAAAGACTGCTGTTGATTGGCTGAGCTTTGCAGTCGTGTAATGACACTGTATCTGCTCCTTCAGGTTATGAAAGCCCCCAGCTGGGTAACAGAGACGTGTTATGACGTTACCAGTGGACTAGAGGACATTTGCTGGGCAGAGACGACTGGAACAAGGAGGACTGGACGGAGACGAGCTTTTAAAACCGTGTGGACTGAAATGACAAAGCTTGCAACAGCTACTCTTTTTTTTTTTTTTTTTTTTTTTTCTCCTTTTTAATCCATGTAAACATTTGTTGCTGAAAATGCATGTACTGGTGTGCTTTCTGTTCGGTTGCACTTTCTTTCCTCAGGCACAAGGAAAGCTCTGACCTGCAGTCCATACAGTATTCAGTGTCTCTCCAGTGTGCTCATCATGAACCGTTTTATGCATTTGTGCAGAGTAATTGAATGCTGACAATCTGTGACTACTAAAAGTGAGTTTGTGCTGTATTTATCCTAATGGAGATGTAAATGCCAACTATACAACTGCACTAACCATTGTGGTAACTTAACCTGTTAACAATCATGTTTTTAATGGTGATATATCATTTAATAACTGTGTAAGTATGCTTCTTTTTGTTTGTTGTGTATGCGGACATTGATGATTGAGATATGTGTTCTCATGCACTTAGCACTCCCATCTCTGCAAGAGTATTTTAAGTATCCCTTACAGTTTGAATCTGATTTAGCAGGCCAGGAAAATTAGTATATTTTCTAAAAATGGATCTACAAATCAGAATAAATAAAATTGACTTTACACAAGGAAATGTGTTGCTGAAAATCATGTTTATGAGATGATGATTTTACACATGAGGGTCGGTTTATTAGTCCTGGGGTGTACTACTTAGCCTTTTGAAGACAGTTGTATAACATTTCGGTTTGTTTTTTAATAATGGAAACATAAGTAATGTAACATGTTATTGAAGTTTAGAGAGCCTGGCGGGCGGATTTTCCATTTTTACAGGCAGGCTAACTGTTTTACCTGTTTCCAGTCTTTAAAGTGGACATATGCTCATTTTCAGGTTCATGCTTGTACTTTGTGTTACTACTAGAACATATTTACATGCTTTAATGTTCAAAAAACACATACTTTTTGTCATACTGTGTACAGGTATATTCACCTTCTGTCAGAAACACTCCGTTTTAGCGCCTATGTCTTTAAACCCTCCAGAAAAAGCCCAGTCTTCTCTGATTAGCCTGTGGAAAAACGTAGTATCTGTTTATACTGTCCGCTTGGAGGACGCGGTAGTATTTTTATGTATTCATTTAGCCAGGAGGGTCCTACAGAGATAATGGATCTCTTCTCTCAGTCAGTTCTAGTCGGCAGCTTAAACAGTTTCTTAAAGAAACAATTTCAAATCTTAGAACACGCAGAGTACAAAGAGGCAACACAAGGGAAATAGTGCAAGAAGAGGAGCATAACGGCCATACCAGCAACCAGAGTCAAGGATTAAGTAGAACATAATATTTCCTTTAGGGCCGTTTGTAAAAGCCCTCGTCAAAGAAGAGTGCGTCTAAAGTAAGGATGTGTTGCAGCTCTCAGTCCATGCCCAGGGTGCATAACATCAGAAAGCCGTGTTACCCAGCTCACAGCGCACCCTGGGGACATTTAAAAGATCTGAATTGTAGATTTACTGTAATGTTATAGTTGCTGATATGACAGGATAAAATATGTATGTATAAGTATGCCGTTTGCCTTAATGACTTTGGCAATAAACAGCAACATGCATTTTTCCCCTCTGGTAAAGAGAGGACCATCCTGAAGATAAATCTTCTCATTTAACTATCGGCAATTAAGTATATTTCCAAAAATGTTAAACTACAGGAGCTACAAGGTAGGACCTTTGAACCCTTTGTTGCTTCGATTTTAGCCATTCTTTTAAAAGTCTGTCTCTTCCAACTTTATGGAAGTGCAATAGTAAATTGGTCGGACACTCCAAAAAAAAAGACACAAGAAAACAATATTCTTGTCTCAGCTGTATGATGATGTGTGAATGTAAATTTAAAAAAACAAGAGCTTTTGTTAAAATATATATATATTTTAAATCTGGACTGTTGCTGTCTCTGAGCAGCAGATGGCAGCAGAGACTGAGCGCTCCTCTCCTCAAGCCGCCTGCTCACTGCTTGTCGCTGTCAAGTCATCTTACCCTGTTATTACCATAAACAACACGGATCCCGCCACTGTGGCTGCAGTAATGAAGGCAGAATATGCATATGGGGGGGGGGGGGGGGGGGGG